CTCCTGCAGGACCAAATGCGCTTCAAAAACACATCAGAGCATTTGTGCCAAGGGCTGGGCAGGCTGTGACCCGGAGAGGCTGTATGGCCAGGACGTGGTAGCAGCATCACGAAGGCAGGGAGAGGCGGAGGAGGATGTTGTCCCCCTCCAACTAAGGGCAGTCATCCCTCTCCATCTCTTGTCCTTCTCCCCATACAGGAGATATTTTTAAAGACACGTCAGTCAGCTCTGGTATGTGCTGGAGGGGGATGCACAGGCAAGAGGGTGGCAGGCTGGGCTCAGCCACACAGACAGGAGAAAGCTGTGACCAAGAGGCACGTGGGCTCCTTGGGGACAGGGAGAGAGCAGGGCCGGGAGCCAGCGCTGCCTGTGTGCTGAGACATGCATGCCTCTCTCCGCGGGGCCAGCCCAGGGGCTGATGTACCTCCAAGGCTGTGTAAGGGGACCTGGAGCCATTGAGCAAACAGCAGGGAGTGCTCTTTGGGCTGATGTCAGGGTATGAGTTTACACTGTTGAACCTCACATCTGGATAGATCTGGGGAGGTTTTGTCTTGATCTGGGTCAGCAGCGTCAGCACAAAACTGAGAGGTGCTTTTCTTTATGGGGTCACTGCTGGGATTCACTGCTGGGATATTTGTATTTTCCCAAACAGCACAATGTAACGCAAACTGGCCAAAAGTCTCCTCTGAGCCACGTAGCTTTCAAAGGGAGAAAAACACTCAGTTGTGCCACCATGCCCTGCTCTGCCTGTGGCCCCCCGGACTTGAGGGAGATGCAGTGATCAAGCAGGAGTGCCCACTCAGCAATTTACCTGCCCCTGTGCTCTGGCTTTGGGACTCTCTGAGGCCAGCCCCCTCCCCATATCATTACACCTGTGACTCAGACAAGTCCCTTCCTGATAAGTTGGGTTTTCTTATCTGGAAGCAGAAACCTCAACCCTCCAGCATCCCATGGAGAAAGCTGTGGTGCTGTCAGGAGTATGGTCAGGATAAATCCCTCCATGGCCACTCCTCACAGAGCTGCAGCTGTGGGGGTGAGGGCCGCCGGTTCCCAGGAGCTGTGCTAGAGACACATGGAACCCCATGAGAGCCCGTGGTTGGTCTCTGAGATCCCAGTGAATGCTGGTGCTGTTTTCTTGGCAGCACAGCGGCATCATGCCAGGCTGTCAGGAGGCATCTCCATCAGTGTCACGGCTGTCAGGTATTGGCGTGGCGAGCACTAACCTCTCCTGAGCATCTCCAGACACGGACACTTCCCAGCTGACAGCATCACAGGAATGATGGACACAAGCTTGGCAGGAGCCCCACACTGCCCTTGGCAGTGCTGCCTCAGCCAGGGCTGCAATAGGGACACTGGGATGCCATCCCATCCCCCTGCCACTTGCCAGGGTCTCTCCAGGACCACCTCCTGGGTCGCCCCCATGGGCATTGTGCTGTGGCTCAAACCCCTTTATCCAGTGGTTAACAGCTGCACGTGGGTCTCAGTCCCATGGGATGTGCCAGGGCAAGCACTAAAGCCAGGGGAAACACCACACAGTCCCCCAGGAAGCCCTCCTGACACACACCCCTGGGGCACAAGAGGGGACACAGAGGGACACACGCTGGGTAGGGCACTTGATGCGCTGGAGGAGGGGACACCAGTCCTGGGGGTTGCTCCTGATGGGGAGAACAAACCCCAAGGCCCAGGGTGGCAACATCACTGCCGCCATGCAGCTCTGAGCAGGTTCAACGCCTGCCTGTACCTCTGATGAGAAACACCACTTTAACATACTATTAAAGACATAGAAAGTGGAGGAAAGATCTTAAAATGCTTGGAGTGTGCAGCACTGTGGCTTTTGCCTTCACAGTGCCCTTGGTACCTTGTTACTCGCCTCCTGTGAATTTGTGGAGGGCTGTCAGTCGGGTGGGGTAAAATCTCTGACATCCCTGTTAGATGTCCATAAAACAGCACTGGATTCCCATGCCAGGAAGGAGCGCTGACAGCAGAGACAGTGAGAAGCTCTGGTGAAGGAAGGAGCCATGGAGCTGCACAGGGGTGACTGCGTGAGCAGGAAAGGGCCCAGTGCCCCAGCCTCTGTGCAGAGCCTGCCCCTCCCCTCCCTGCCAGACTGCCTGCTCTGGCCACCCCCTGGCCCCACAACAGGCACGTCTGTCCAGCAATTCGGGGCTGATAGGTGCAAAGCAGGGCTAAGGAGGAGAGAAAACTGGCATGGGCAGGCAAGCCTCTTCCTGAAGAGAGAAGGTGAGGCATGTAAGTAAGAGGATGCAAAGCAGAGAAGGGAGGAAGAAGTGACAGGTGCCTGAACCAAGGACTGCTGTAGTGGTCAAGGAGGTGGAGGGGAGATGGTAGTCAGCCCCCGTGGTAGCTCCCATCTTTCAACCCTCCTTTGACATATCTTCTCTTGCCTTTTCAAGGGCTTTGAGGTGTGAAATGATCAGAATGGTCCTTGCACACATTTTTGAAAGCTCGTAGGTTTCAGAATCTCCAGGCTATTTCTTCCTACCTTGAGCTGCTCGGGTAGACTCTGACCAATATCTAGAGTTGTACAGAGGCAGGATCAGACATCAGGAGATGAAGGCCAAGTTGTACAGGTGCACCATGTGGCCTCCAGTGCCAGTACTGACAGCAAGTGCTGAGCACCATGTGCTCAAGGTCCTGAGAAAAGCAGGCAGTGCTTGGTACAAGCTGGTAGCCCTCAGTACAAGTAAAACCACAGTGGACATGCCTCTTGGTGGTGCAGACCCCCTCCCCATTTGGCCATCACCAAATGCAACCAGGATCCTCCAATCCCGAGAGACTCCCCTCGGGACAGATGAGGGATAAGGACAAGTTGCTCATCCGGAATGACACCTGCTTTAAGAGCACTCTCTGATGCTCAGCACAACTGTGCCCAACACATCATTTAACAGAGCTGTGGAGAGACTACAGTCTACATGGTGGTCAGCTGGCCAAAGCCTTACAGTGCAGCCTTACACGGCATCAGGATCATGTCACAGACATTGCACATGTGTTTTACAACCAGCTTCCAGCTGCCAGCTCTTGGAGCACATCTGGGAGAATGGTAGCAGGAAGAGCTCCCCTCTCCCAGGGGAGAGGATCACACCTGGAACTCCAGGGGAAGCAGCACCTGAGCAGCAATGAAACAATCCTGCTGTCCCCATGGCCCACCTCAGCCCCCACTGCAGCAGAGGGGCAGTGGCATCTATTTTGTATTTTGCAGCCCTCAGGAAAAAGAGGATTTCAGAGGGATTTGAGCACAGCTCCCTAAATAGCTCTTTAGAATTAAGAGGTTTCACAGAGGATTATTTCAAGCAGCTGCCCGCGGTGGGAGGGAGAGGCTGGCAGGTGCTGGGGAGGTGAGGGGGCAGACAAAAGGCAGGAGTTCTGTACATAAGCACAGGGGAGCAAAGTCCCCATTTGAACCACAGCAGAGGGGAGAGGAGAGCATCCCACCTCCTGGCTATGTATGCATCCTCTCTTCTGGGTGAGTCAAAAGGAATGAGGAGCGGAGGGGTGGTCAGCAGAAGTGACACACCAAGGGAATAGCACAAAAGCAGTTCTTACAGAGGAGTCACTGGCACGGAGCAATCAGTATCCAAAGCCTGATGTCAAAAAGACAACGTGCAGATATGGCTGCTTTGCTGGACCTGGCCATAGTGGCATTTCAGAGGTGGCATTTCAGAGTTCAAGGGGAGCCATCACCGTCCCTGACCTCTCACTAGATGGGAAACCTGTGTGTGAGGAAAGTGGGAAGGCTCTGCTAGCGCTAAGGATGAGTTTGAAATGCTGGAGAAGGGGATCAGTCAACCAGACAGAGCTTGACTAAGGACAGATTCCTACCTGCAAAGTTACACATGCCAGACTTCACAGATCCAAGGATTCATGGTGGAAATAAAATTGTGCAAAAACAAGAAAGGCCACAAAATCTTTAAGAACAGGCACAGCTCTGTGGATTGGTGGAATGTGGGTCAAAATATCTTTCTAGTAATACTGAGAGATAGCATTGCTTGGCACCGCTTTCTGGTGAAAAGAGGAGGAAAAGGTAGCTGGAACTTCATTACAATTTTGATATTGGGGTAGAAATTGCTTCTTAGGGACTGGATGCTGCAAAAAGGTGAGTTCCTCCATAGGGTCCTGAACTCCAGTTTTCAATGGGCAGAAGGGTTGAGTATGCACACGGTGACCAGCTGAGCCACAGCACACAGGAATGAGTAATAAGGCTGGAGGGAGAGCACATGAGAGAAACAGGAAAGAGAGGCTGGTGTTAATAGAAAGAGATAGAAATGAGGAAAGAACAGAAAGAAGAGAAAGGAGGGAGAGCTGTGATTTTGCAGTAGTGGAACTGAAAAAGCAGGAGAAGCAAGGTGAGGTAGATTATTTCCACTGGATGGATGATAGTGGGGAAGAAGTGAGAAAAGAAAACAAAACGGAGAAGTGCAGGAGGGAGAGCAAAGGAGAAGGTCCCAGGCAGAAAACTAAACAAATGGTTAAATCTCAACAAATATTATTATGAGCAGTCCATGCATAGGGCAGCCCCTGCTGCTACACCTGGAATGATGTGCCACAGGCAAGACCACAAGTCAGAGAGATGCTGGGGCTAAAATCCTAGCAAACAGGAACTGGGGGGTTAGAGATTTTCTCAACAACCAGGAAAAGGAGTTTGTTTTCTTGACCCTTCCTTCTCCACTCCCTCAGAGGAACAACCTTTGAACAGCTCTGAACAACCTTTGAACAGCAATTAAGCTCTTTGGCCAAGCATTTAAAAAATTACCCCTGACACTGATTTTGTTCTGCCTCAGACCTGAGCTGTCCCAATGAAGTTGGAAAAAAACAAGGTCTTCCACGATTTCAAGGCCTCTCTCAAGAACTGACTCCTCTGTCCATCACCTGCCTGTGCAACCCTCAGTCTGCATTTGAGGGGAGGGAGGTTATGTGACCTGGAGGTACAGGCAAAAGTACGTGTCTAGTAAAGGTCGTTACTGCAAAGATCAGAGGTTTAACATTTATTTTCAACACAGATGTCCCTCTTCTTATAAAGAGTGGTTTCCTTTACTGCCCCGGTTCATAAAAATAGGTGAAATTGGAATAGAAATTTTCAGCTGTACTAGCGCAGACAAATAAGGGACAAGGAAAGATGACATGTCTGTGACAGGCTGAGATTAATTGTGATGAGCTATGATTGCAGCTCTCAGTGTTTGGCTTTCGGCTTTACGAGATCAAGCCTGCAAATTCGGTGTTTCCTCATGTCTGTTTAACAGCTGTGATTTTTTTGACGCAAACACCCAACTGATTACACATGGAACAGGGTGTGATCCCAGCTCGGGGTGTTGGAGACCACAAAACACACACTCAAGGCCTGGCGGCCACAGCCACTAAGAGCCACGTGTACAAACAAAAATGGGTTACACATCTGAAACATTAATTGAGATGCATTGGCAAGTTGGCAGGGGACCCACCCCCAAAGGTGACTGACTTCAGCTTTGACCAGAAAACTTTCCTCTTTCTGTTACTGATCCTCAGGCTGGAAGACTGGCAGAAGAGCAGGTTGGCCCCGTGCACTGGCAGGTCCCAGGGACAGGCAGCACAGGGCCAACCTGCAGCATTTTGCAGCTGCTGTCGGAGTGCAGGACAACTGTGCAAAGGCTCATCACTCAGCTGGCGCCTGAGGTGGGACCTCGAGGGGACTGCACGGTGTCACTTATGAGACCAGACTCTTCAGTAGGAAGTGTGGGTGGGACATAGCTTTTCTTGGATGCTCATTTATGAGTTTGTTGATTCTGAGCTGAACCTGAAAGTGTGAGCAGTGCCTGTGCTGTGTTATGTGTGGGGAGAGACTAATCTGCACTGTCACACCATGTGTGCACATGTGGTGGGTGCTCTTCAAATGCTCTGAGTACACAGGTATCCCTGCATGGGGTCATTGGGCAGCTGGCACAAATGGGAACATCACTGTCACATCTACACATGGTGCTATGATGAGGCACCTCCTTTCACAAGGCTTTATAACCAAGAAATATGTTGCTGCTTTAGGACTGCTCTGAAATACTTCCCAGCCTTCTCTGTGGTGTTACCCTCCTCCAGCATCATCTACACCAGCTCACTGTCTCCTGTGGTATGTGTTGGGAGTTGGGATGTGCCAATGCCAGCAGCAGGCTGTACAGATACTTCCCATGGGACATCAGCACTGGTTCACAGGGGTGGGTTTAAGCATGGGGGCTACATCCTACCAATTGCCTCAGGAGCTCCTGGGATTTAGGTGTTGCCACTTCACAGAAAAGGTGTAAACTAAACCATCCATGGGCACTATGCTGCATCTTATTATTTCCCACCCAGGGATGCAGCCAGGGCGGGTGTTTGGCAGGAACTACCTTTTTCCAGCTGGTGGGAGATTGGTTGGGGGGAGTGCTGGAAAATCTCTCAATCACATGGTGGACCTCTTGCCTCTGCACAAAGCTGTTTGTAGCAGAGAGTGATCATGTAGGAGATTCGGACAGCCTCTAGCAAAGAGCCCTTCACTTACCCTTTTAATTGCATTTTAGGGTCAGGGACTAGCTACTACACAGATCTGCAGAGGGCAGAATGCTCCAGAAGAGAAAGGCTGCCTGCTCTGCAGGGCTTTGACTCACAGGGCTAGCCCCAATGGATGCAGGGAACACAGCTGGAGACTGTGCAGGGCTGAAACCTGGCACCTGTGAGCAGCACACATTGTCCTTAAGCCCTTCTCCAGTTTTGAGGTGGTGTCCTACAGCTACCAGCATGCTGGACTCCTCACTAGAATCCCTTGTTCTGCACTAGTATCCTTTGTTCTGCACATCCCCTCCAGTTGTTTGTTAGTGTTGGTTTATGCTCCATAAATCAACAGCCACCTGCAATTTGAACCCAGTGTCAGCAAGATCTGTGGGGTGAAAGCACAGCTGTGTGCTGGGGGATGCTCTGCAGAGTTTCACATGGAAAGGCAAGAAAAGCAAAGAAGTGGACAACAGTCTAAGCTCTCTAGAGACATCACCTCTGCTCGGGAGGAGGAAGGCGTGGGCACCGGCTGCTCCTCCCTGAGAGCCTGGACCAGGATGCTGCAGGATGAAGACGGTCACTGCACAACGCCCCGGTGACAGCTTGTTCAGCGCCTTGGTAAGCCAGGCCAGGAGGGACACAAGCAGGTTCCTCCGCCAGGTCCCCTCTTCAACAACTGAAAGCCATCATGGAGCCAGGGACATGAAGCTGTGCCGGAGGAGCTTGAGGGACAATGTGGAGCGAGCAGCTACGGGACAGGGCGAGGATGTTCAGGCTTTCCTCCTAGACGGTGGCATCTGAGATCCTCCCATTCAAGGACGTCTTTGGCTGGAGGCCGTTGTTCTGCACATGCACCTCTGCTTTGGGCTGTGTCATCTGCTGCAAACGCTGCCCAGGAATAAAGGGAGAAAGTGTCAGCCAGGGGCTGGGGGTGGCAGCAGTGGGACAGCCGGGGCATGGCAGCAGCTGAGGGTTGGGACCCCTCACCCCAAGCCTCAGAGGTGACCCTAGTTACAGGGTGAGGGGATGGCGCATGCAGCAGAAGTGGCTCCCGCAGCACCACTCATTGAATCCAAAAACCTCCGCAAGTCACCTTTGCTTTGGTGCCACACACAGCACAGCAGCTCCTCTTTTTATCTGAAATACAGGGATCATCCTGATAACACAGGCAAACTGTTACCAGACAAGACCAGCTGCAAGGAGGAACAAGAGAGAGCTGCACTGTCACAGGCTTCAGAGTAGACCCATTTTCCGCTACTGTTGATTACAAAGTCCAAATCTTCCTTCGCGAAGCCCAGCCCAAAATAATTACAAGGCATTACTAAGTAACTACACCAGGCTAACAAGGTTATGATCTTTGCCTTTGATGTAGATGAGACCATCCACCTGAACAAACCTTTGCACAGCAGCAACTCCTATCACCCCGAGCTGATCAAATGAAAAGTGCAGAGTCAAGTAATGTGAAGCAAAGAACCCGGGAAAATATGGAGGGGCAAGTCATTGCTGGAGGCGTGTGGACTGAGCATCAGGAGTGATGAAGAACAATGAATCACTTTTGCCGGTCAGGGAGAGACTGATGCTGTCCACTGCAGAAAAGAAGCAGGGGCAGATTGAGCCTGACCTTAACAGACATCACTAAGACAGGTAGAACCTCATTTCAGCAAGAGAAACAAGCTCCTACTGAAGTAGCTGTTGCTGGGTGTAGTCCCTGAAATGTTCACTGAGTTGCTTCTACCATTCATGGTCTTTTTTTTTTTTGCCCTCTCACATTCATGCTCAGTAGAATCAAAATGACTTGTAATCTTTCCTGTCTGTCAAAACCACTTTATTCAGGATTGGCATCTAATTTCCCTCCAGCTCCAGCTCTATTACAAATTAATCCAGGATCTGTGCATATAAGAGGCCAAAAATTCTCTCTGTCTCTCTGATACCAACACACGCACACACAGATTAGCCTACTTTCTTCGTGGTGCCATCTGCTGCTCACTCCTGGGTCTATGAACGATTGAGAGGGGTCTGGGTCTCATCATGTGTGTGGGCAATGTTAGAGGAAGAGCCAGACAGGGAGGGCACACATCAGCCACTCACACTGCTTACTGGTACTGCTGGTTTGCACAAGATGCGGAGGGGATGGGTGGAAACGTGCTCATGAGCTGCCCTCCATGCCCTGGGGCAACACGGGAGCCCCCAGCACTTTGGAAGTGCTGGTGTTGCCACTCTTGTTACGTATATAATTAGCACAAGCCCTTTGTCAGAAGGACTTGAGCTACTCCTGGGAGACCACAGGCCAGCCTGGGCTCCCCCAGATGCTGGGATGTGCTTCCTCCACCTCTAGTAAAACAGGACTGAGACTAGGCAAAGGGTTGAACTCATATCTGTACTTTTGGGCTTCCCTTCTCCCCTTTTCCAGCTCATATAATGAGGGAATAAGGAACCCTCTAAATGTCTGAGAAAGGAGCTACTGCTGGAATTGCTGCTGGCCTTCAACCCAAAATCTCCAAAGTGGCTTGACAACACCCTGGCTTGACTCCTGCAGGAATGCCAAGGTGGATCTCAACACCAATGACAAGTACCTAAACCCAACTTCAGATGAGAGACCAGAACTGAAAGTAGATCTGAGACCCCAGACTCAATCAGTTCCCACATCAGAGCACATCGAAATGGAAGGCTGGCAGGAAGAAAACTCAAATCCACCTGCAACTTGACTTCAGAGGTAGAGAGCCTGAAGTTGACCTAAGCCCAGTAATTCCAGCCAAAACATTTCTGAGTTAAACATTGTTCGAAATACAGCATCCATGAAGTGAGCTCATGGGGTTTAGATGGCGTCTGGTTGCTATTGCAGCTGGGCTGGGAAAGCCATAAATGAGCACCCCTGGGGTGACTTCTTACATCTGTAGTTTGCAGCAGACAGCACCAAGCCAGTGACTTTTTGCACAGTGCTCTCAAGACTGAATGTCAACACCGTAAATAAAATCTTAACAGTAAGTACTAGGTATGACATACAGACTCATGATTCACTGCTACATAAAACCCTGCTCAAATTACTAAAGAAAACGTTTTAAACAAGACTAGTGGGTATTGTGGGTCCTGCATAAAAGTATTCCTTGCTTCTTAACCCCTCAGTCACTGAGTGCACTTTGCAAAGCACATGGCAAACTACCACTGTGCTTGTCTTTGTTGGTAGCAGGTCCCAGCCCGAGACACTTCAAGATCCACGCTTGGAGGATGCTGATCTCTCTGCTGAGAATTGCCAAGTAACCATGCTCATAGTCAGGGACCGTCAGGAACCTGGATTCCTCTGGGTTATGAAACCTCAAAGATTTCTTCCCAGTCTCTTCCTGGGCTCCAGTCACCTGCACCAAAGGGATATTCCAGGGGCGAGGGCTCCCTTTTTGTGATGGTGACAACACAAATCTCAGTGAGGAACAACGGACCGAAGTGTAGACTACCTGAAAGTCTGCCTACATGACCAGCCACAGCCAGACACACCTACCTGAGCAGAGAGGAGTGGTAAAGCTGTTCATACCTGCCGGAGAGTCCCCTTTGAGGTGAAGAAAGAGTACAGCATGTATCCTGGAATCAGTACCATGGAGGACAGAGCCATAAGCCAACCAAGGCCTTGCCCCCATGCAGGATAGACGTATTTTCCCAATGTCAGAGGGGTCATTTCCACCACACTGAAGAAGAACACACCCTGGGAAAAGAGCACCAGCCAATGCAGGTGAAGGCATGCAAAATCAGAGCCCATAAATTCTTTCCTTCATTATCCTCTTAGGTCCCAACAGTCTTAGGGCAACTGAACAACTCGTTAAACTAGTCTACAGTCTTTCAGCCCATCAACTGGTAATCTGAAATAAATTCTCCTTATCCCATGTAAAAAGCTGGAACTGGAATACCCCTGATTTTCTTTTTCACTAGGCTACTTAGACAAGCAGTGCCCCCACACTAGTTCCTAAGCAAGTTAATAGCATCCTCACAGCTGGCCTCAGGAGTCTTCATCTTCCTGTCACTGGCCTTTTCCTGCCATTCCCTGCACTACTTCTGCTGGAAGGGCAAGAATCAGCAAAGGCCAAATCGCTCTACAGTCAATTATCCTGCATTTGCTGATAGCTTTTGCTCTGACAAGCTTGTCAGGGGCTGAAGCTGGAGCTAAGAGCCTTCACCAGAACCAATAATAGCTTTCTGAAACAGTACGTTATTTTGCTTATCTTCTGGCATCTCAGAAAGAAGAATGAAGAACTGAAAGCCTCATTTAGATTAAAACAATCACCTAGAACTTTTCTTATGGGTGATTTCTAGCAGGCAGAGTGAAAGAGGTTCCTGTATCACTTTGCCCATCTCAAGTCTGCCTGGGACCACCTTGCACTAGCCCTATACTAGGTGGAGAATATAGTGTTTCCCCTACAGTCCATCCAAACTGAGGGGCCCTTCTTGACCCACACCTGCAGATAGGATGCCCCAGGTCTTACCAGGCAGACAAGAGGTGTGAAGAAGGCCCAGCAGATCTTCCACCAGATGCAAGGCTTGTAGCCAATCATTTCTTCGATGTTCCTGTAAAACCTGTTCACACCTACAAGAAGAAATGAGCATTGAAAAAAACATCCCATCTCAGCACCATGGTTAACACATCTTCTCATGACACAGCACAGGCCAGTCACAGCAAGAGGCATGAGAGACGCATTTTCTGGAGGGGATGGGGTACTGGGACACAAAAGCAAATTCCTGCTAACAGCTTCCATGTTCCTGGTGTCCCCTTGAAGGCCCAGAGTGAAGTACCCTAGGCATCTGTCAGTTTGTGCAGAGGTCTTTGTGATGGGCTGGAGAAGTGAAATGACAGCCTTCCACTCCTGATTTTCTGGAGTTCTCAGTCTAAGCCATTTTCAGTTGCAAAATTGTCATTGGCTTCACTGTGGGAGGCTTTTGAAATAACTCACCGTGCCCATGGAGGAAACAAAGGAACGAGGTGTTCTGTGCTTACCATAACACCAAGAAATTGAGATGGTCTCGAAGAAGACAAGAAAGAGAAGACACATGCCACTGGCTGAGTAGTAATCAAACAGCTTGAAAACATAAATGCCACCCTGAAGAGACAAAAACAGGGTTAAGGAGTTATAGATTTTGGTCGACAATATCAGCCAGCAGCTTCGAGTGCTACTGTCCGTGTCTGTTGGCTTTAATATTAATTTCCTTGGACAGTAGAGCCAGTGTTGCAATGTTTCTACTGGAGTCTGGTTCCCAGCAGCAAAACTGATGTGCTCTTGCAGACAATTAGCCAGTCTGTTCAGGCATAGCCAAGGGTGAGAAGAAAACCAGTAATTCACTAGGATCTCTTATATTTCTCTGCTTTAGATGGAGTCGCTGAATTTAGTCTGCTCTGCCCTTCCCAGGAGTTTTGCCTTGCCTCCTCATGAACCTTCAGTGGTCCACAAATGGTCTCCAGATCACTCAGCCCTCACCGTCCCTCATGTGAACCTTGGCTTCAGCCCCAGAAGTTCAGGGCCCCAGCAGACTGGTTTTCTTTGTTATCTTAACCCTTTGCAGCAAGCACTCCCCAGCTTGGGCTCTGTTGGCTTGAGCTCTTATTACAAATAGCAAAATACCAAGACAGACTGACAACAGGATAATGGTAAAAAATTATGGAGGCATCCTAAGTAACTTGAGATGTAGCAGTGATGAGCAAACCCTTTTATTCAGCATTAGGAGAAATGCTGTCACTTCTTCCAAAGTTTTTGGTGTTGCTGTGCTATGCCAAAGTGACTAGAAAGGTGTCATGAATGGAGGCACAAACACGGCTGTCAGTACCTGGGTGATGTTGGAGAATCCAATGAGATAAGAGATGAAACAGACCACTGCGATGAAGATCTTCTTCCTGGCTCTTAGGAGATGAGGATACTCATCCACCAGGGCTGTAATGAACCCTTCCACCGTGCAGAACTAGAAAAGGTATACACCAAGGACATATACATAAGTAGCCTGACATCGCTCCCACCCACATTTAACTTCAATGCTGAGAACCTCATTGATTTAAGAACTCTCTGCAGACTTTCACTGAATAGAGACGGAGCTAAACGCACTGAAGTTAAATACTTAAAAATAGCTGAGATAAATCCCTGTCTTTTGCTCCTGTGAAAAGCCTCTCCTTTCTTCCCACAAACTCTCTGGGGCCTCCCCTCCACTGCCCTGCTCCCCCACGTTGCCAGGCTCTGTGTCACAGCTGTGTGTCTGGGACACATGCTGGACCTCGCTTGCTCTTCCCTTCCCATGTGTGCTCTTCCCAGCCTACAGGAACACACAAGAGAGCACTTGTGCTGTTCAGTGATCTAAAACACTTAATAAGGAGCTGCATTACCCACTGCCCAGTCTCATGTGCATGTGAATAACTACGACATCTCTGACTACCCAGTCCTTTTTCAAGCACACTACATTAAATGCATGGGGCACATCAAAAGCCCATCCTCACAGCATATCATCTTTCTAGAGATGGAAACACCTGGATGGCTTGTGAAGTACTACACAAGGCACAGTATATGTTGTGTGCACCACAACACATTCCCTGTGAGTGTTACCTTCAAATCAATGTTCCTGCTAGTCCTGCCTTCTGGCATGAGGACAGTTTGACCATATATATGTGAAGTGCATCCTTTCCTCCTATTTCCTGATAAACTGTGAGATTCACTTTTATATCTCGCTCCCAGAAACCACAGGTAACATACAGCTCTCAGACAGCACATTATGCCTCTAGCAGAAATCCTGGGAATTAACAAGAGCAGCAAATTCCTGGCTTCTCTGGTCACCCTGAGCAAATGTAAAAGCCCATGCAATGACAGTGAAAGAGGTTTCATCGCTCTTGGGAGTCAGGGACCTCCCTGTCCCTGGGAAGAAAAGAACCCCTAGAGTGGAGGTGGAGGTATATGGACTAAAAAGAGCAGCAGAGGGCTAGAAAGATGTACAGAAGAAAAGCAGGGAGCCTGAGCTGTGCCTATAGCTGGGCAGGGATGTTGGAAGAGCTTTCACACTGCTGGCTGCTGGGGCTGGCTTCCATGTGGGCCAGAGCAAGGCAAAGGGCAATGTGTCTGCCCAGGGTTTTATATCCTCACGGAAAACCAGTATTCCCAAAGCGTCAAAGCTCAACGGCTTCAGCTTGAATGTTTAATGAGCTAAGCCTTTTATGTTGGACACAAGTGCCATTAAAGCATCTTTTGCCATTCACGCATGGGTTAAGCTGCCTTTATACTCATAGACAGCGAGCTCTTCACCCCATCCCACCTAGCTTGTTGTCTGGAAGAGTCAGGACTGAGCTGGCATCACAGTGTGAAGAGATAGCATGACAAAAAAACCACTGTCGAAAGCGATTCTTTCCATGTGGATGCATAGCCAGGCACTGCCAGAGCCATAGGCAGGGCCAGGAGACCCGAGATCAGAGAGGGAAATGGATTTGTAGGGGGGGCCAGAGGTGGTCAGGGGCAGAGGGTGGTGTCCACCAGAGAAGGAGTGAAGAAAATGATGTCTCAGATAACGGGATGGAGTAAAACTGACAGCCCTTTGGTGCAGGAAGAAGGATCACGTCAGGGAAAGCATAGAGGGAAATACAGGGAGGTGGGTGATGAGAAACAGGGTTACAAAGTGAGTTGAAATCTCTTTGTCTCCTATCAAAATCAAGCTGCTGTGTAATGGACAAGGTGATGAAACAAATGGTAGTATATTGCTTTTTCTAGCCATAAAACAGGCAATGATCTTCATATCATTTACTGAAAACTGCCTCAGGCCAGCCTCAGGTTTCAGAAGGGATGCAGCCTGGAGGAGGCTCACCTTTCCAGCCCTGTGGACTGTGGCTCCCTAGCTGGCCTGAGATCCATTTTTCCAGGCCTACATACCAAACCTTAGCTCCTCATACGAGATAAGTAGGCATTTCTTCTGAGTGAAAGTATGCTGCTTTCAGGATTGGTGAGGATCTCGGCATTGGGGTGCCTTCTGGCCTTGCCACTACAGTATGCTTTCCAAAAAACTCTGCTTTTCCCACCAACTTCCTCCAGACACAATTTTTAGGATATATTCTGTTCTTCCTCATGCCTCACCTCATGATATTGTCTCTTTCCTAAGCATTGTATTGCCATTAACTTAGCTCTTTTGCTTTTTCTCCCCTTCAAGGCTTAATCATCACACAAGGATAATGGGTTTGATAACCTGGATTTAGAGTCAATATAGGTGGCACCTCAGTCTGTAGGAGAGTCCCTCTCCCACCCTCTCCCAGTGTCAAGGGCTTGCTATTCCCTCCTTGACCACGCAGAGCACCCTGACTGGGACCCATGGATGTGTGGGGAGTTTGACCACAGATGTGCAGCCAGAGATCCATGAGCGGTCTCACTGCCGGCAGCTGGAAATCCTCATGAATAACCCATGAGAGGAGGCCTCACATGGGACAGACACAGGCTTGCAGTCACAAGGCCTGCAAGCTCCCCTGAGGAATGAATGCCTGACCTGGAAACTGGTAGGTTAAAAGAAAGCATTAGCATATTACGCAAGAGGGTCTAGACGCAAGAGGAGTAAAGCCCGGATGGATGAGAGCAGAGTGAACATTAAGGCACACAGCACACGAGCGGCAAGTGGGGGCACAGGAGGGAGGTGCATGTCCATCCATGTAGGTCACTCATCCCATTCAAGGCCCTGCAGATGAGATGAGCACCCTGACCGAAAAAGGCAGGTGTGACTCGCCGGACCTACTCCCATTGTCACGAAAGGGCTGGAGCTTGTTGCTGCATCGCAAACACAGATCTCAGCCCGACCTCCCTTCACTAGTTGGGCTTCCAAGTGTCTCTGCCGTGCCTACAGAGCCGTGCCCTGCCGGTGACAAGGGGCAGCCTCAGCCCAGCAGCCCTGGGGGTACAGGGTGCAAGAAATGCCCTATGGCCCCGCTGCGCCTCACAGACTGGGCTGCTGACCCAAATGAAAAATGCCTGCTCCCCATCTGCAAATACCACAAAGGATATGAAATCAGCACATACCAAAACCATCTTTTTTTTTTTTCCTTTTCTTGTTTTTTTAGATGAATGCTTCAAAATGCACGTGGAATTGCAGGCATTGTTGCAGCCTGTGTTACTTGTTTTATATGCACAAGCTGCCATGCCTTTGCTGGTGTGTTTGAATGAATCAGAGCTCCAGCATGCAGACAGAAAGCTATTTCACATGTATTTAGCTGTGCTTTTTAAGAGCTTGTTTTCCTTTTGATGCTTCGTTTCTGCCCAGCCTTCTCCTTCAGGCAATGATAGCCCCCCACAGACTGCCCTCCAGGACTGGCTGTCAGAAGGGACATGGAGAATTTCAAGGGGTATTTCAGAAGTAAACGCAGCAAATAAATTCCACAGAATGCTTAGAGGGCTTATTGTCATGCCTTGAACTATTTACCAGCTCTGAGTGAATAATCCATGGACATAATTTTTTTTTTTTCTGTAAATGTAGCTTTTTTCAGAATATTTAGTTCTTATTTGCATTTCTTTTTTGCTAAATAATGTCTGTAGTAATGCAGACATGAGCTTTATAATATGTTTATGAGAGTGTGCCATCATTGAAAACCAGATTTGGTTGATTAGATTTTCCTGGAAACCGGGTGTGACATTTCAGGAATAGGTCTGAGTCTGATTGTGAACTAGGCTTGGGTTTGTGAATGCTACCTGTAATCCAGGAGAGCATCCATTTTGTACTGGTGGTTTGTGCTGCAAGGAAAGAGCATGTGGGCATAAGGGAGGATGGGACAGGCCAGGTGCAGGCTTTTGCAGGAGCCTTTGATTTTGATGCACTGAATAGAGAGGCACACTGCAGTTCACTGCTTCACTGGGTAGCTACTTTTAAGCTGAATTATCAGAAAAAAGTATCACCACTTGTAAAAACACAGAGATAATGGTGGTTTTTTGTTTGTTTTGTGAGGGTTCTGAGGGGGCAGGGTAGAGGCCTTTTGCTACATCAAGCTGCTTCCCCCACAAGTAAGGCTCACCTGATGGCAAAGCTACCCAGGTACCCAGGCACCAGCTTTTCCCAAGGCATGATTCCTTCTTTCTGCCAGAATCTACTCCTGCTCACCTACAAACCAGGGAGCTGCAGCTCTGCTCAGGATCACTTTTGTCATCAACACCAATGCCAAAACAGTGCACCAAACCACTGTCCTCACACTCGGAGGGAGCCCCAATTGAAACCCTGCATCGCTGCTTTTCTCAGCAGAACCTGTTGATGCTCCACCAGAGCACTGGGTCTGGCTGGACACCAGTACCTTGTGCAAAGATGCTGGCTCTGGCTCCTGGGAGTAGGGAACATGGAGACCTTCTACCCTAAGTTGTGAAGAAAAGCTGAAGTAATGACATTCTCTCGCCTCACAGGAAATGCAGTTTGGTCAAGGTGACAGAAAATTCCAAGCATCCAAGCTTCTCACAGAACACTAAGAGAGCTGAGATGACCACAAACTACCGTCATGCAGGCATGAAATGAAATAGTTCATACTGATTTCCCTTATTTCATGTACCTACATTGGGAGTGGGGGGAGTCATGTCCTACAAGAACAAAGCAGTTATTACTTGAAAGAAATCTTTTTTCACTTTTCCTGTGATGCAAAATATTTTGGCAGGACTAGTTTCCCACTAGCTCTGCTTAGAGCCTGTGAGGCTCAGCTGCCAGGGTGACCCAGCAAGGTGGGGATGGGCTGCATGCACTCAGCAGCACTGGTACTTGGCCACAGGGTCAAAAATTGGTGTGAACAGAGAAAAGTTTGCCAAAGATCCTCTCCTTCTACAGGGAAGTGGTGAATATCTTATAGGGTTGACTGGTTCTGCTGGGCTGCTGGAAACTGGTCATTGCTCTTATTTTTAATGGGCAGCAGGACAAGGACTGGCGCATTGGGAAGTTGTCAGATCCCATCACGCTTCCAAGTATATGCCTACATGAGGGAAGAGCACAAAGGCGATGTCCACACAGGAGGTTTTGTTTCAAGAAGCTGCATTTCACCTCTAAGAGTTAAAAAACCACCCTGCTCAGCACTGTCCAGAGGTGCAGGAGGGGACACCACCATCATATCTGAAGATATTTTTGTATCTTACCCCACCTCGTGCCTGGGTTGTCTCACCTGACTATCCAGACCCAACATCATCAGCATGGAGAAGAAGAGGACTGACCAGAGAGGTGACAGGGGCAGCTGTGTGACAACCTGTGGGTAGGCGAGAAAAGCCAGTCCGGGGCCTGTGGTAATGAAAAGAGGGGTGAGAGCAAGTTTATAAAGCATTTGATGGGAAGTCTGAGCTAAGGGCCACAGTTGAACAGAGAGACAACAATCCCAGCCAAGACTTGTGGGTATTTGTCATAGGAGCTAGGAACACCTGAGCTTTTGTCCGTGACACACCGACCCAGTGGAGTGCACAGGGGTAGGACAGGGAGGCAGGAATGACTGGAAAAACAAGTCCTGCAAGCAAGAAGGTCATCAAATTATTGCAACCAAATGGAGCTGGAGCATTTGCTACAAAAATGAGAGCTGCTTATAACTTTCCCAGTGCCTTTTTTTTTCCACCACAAAATGCTGTTTCTTGAGATAAAAGCTTTCTCTGGGAAGACAGCAATTTCAAAATATGCCTTTGCACAAAAAGACACAGTCCCATCTTGGTTAAAAAATTATTCTGAGATCAATTTCAAGATTGCACATGAAAAAGGGACTCCAAATTTTCATCATGCCTGCTGAAAACATAGGTAGTATCTATTCTCTACAGGAAGGTTTCAGACAGCAAATGGCCTAAATACTTCCTTACAGCAAAATCACATGAAAGTTCAGCACTAAAAGGAGAAGAACACTAAAAGCAGACAGAGATGCCCCTTGCAGCCAGAGTGTGACCAACATCAGCCACAGGCGCCTTAGACATATCTTGGTGGGAGGGTGCTCAAAGAGCACCTGGGTCCCAGTCTGGAAAGGCCTGGGAGCATCCCATGCTCACAGAAAAATTGCTCTCACAGGTTGCTGTTGCATTTGAACTGGGTTTCTGCTTACCTGAGGAGGCCAGCTCTGAGACTGACTTCTTTGTGATGTGTGACATGAAGCCAATGATGGAGAAAATAACAAATCCAGCAAATACACTTGTAGTGGAGTTTATACAACAGACAATAATGGAGTCTCTGGAAGAGAGAAAGAAGGAAAAGAAACCACCTGCAGGTCCCTACCAAGAGGCCAAGAGCGGAGAGTGGGGTAAATAAAAGACCAAGCCCTGCTGAGAGCAGGTCCACGCCCTGGAGAGGTAGCACAGGTGAGATATGAAATGTCCTGCAGGCAGGAGAGCCCCTCTGTAGAGATCACAGTGTGTTCCCTGAGCTGCATGTTGGCACTAAGGGGACAGTGGAGGTCAGACACCCCAGACTCACCACGACCCCCTACCTCACCCTGAGCCCTCCTCACCATGCAGGAGGCTGGGAAAGAAAAAACCGACCTGTAGACATTGTTGTGGAAAGTGTTGTAGCTCCCCAGAGCAATCAGGGACCCCAGCCCCAGGCCATAAGAGAAGAAGATCTGTGTGGCTGCATCCATCCAGACCTGTGGAGAAAGAACCAGGAGAGGGAGGGACTCCATGCTGCAGGTGCATCTCCTGCAGCAGCTCAGTGCAGCTTTGTCTTAGCCTGTGAGGGTCGTGACTGTTTGAACGAGGAACTATTGCAGGATTTTTTTAAATACTTAAAATATACAAGGGAAGTGCCTTTGGAAGACTAATGCAGAGACAACTGGGAGATAGGAGCTTTCGTCACTAGGCCACAAACCTCGGAGTCGGAGAGCTTTCTAAAGTCAGGCGTGAGGTAGAAGAGGATCCCCTCCTTCGCTCCCGGCAGAGTGACTCCACGGAATAAGAGGATGAAAAGCATGAAGTAGGGATAGGTGGCTGAGAAATACACAACCTGAAAAAGACCCCATGGTAGAGAAACCCTCAGCCCACCAGTGCCCAGGAGCTTTCCTGCCCACGGTGTCATTGCACGTGGCATGCACCCCTGTGAGGGGGACAGGCTCCCCAAGCACAGACACTTTCAGCAGAATTTCCTTGCATTTGCTGTCTCCCATTCCCATGCTAGTAATGTTTCTGTCTGTCTGAGGTTTCTCCCTACCAATGATATCCAAGGACACACTAATCACAAAAGTAGCATGCTGAAGTCTGAATGAAATGCCCAAAGACAAGGGAATTGCACGAGGATAAATTTAGTCCACAGAAGTAATCCCTTTAAGTCATCACATCCTTATTTTGCAGAGCTAAAGCCGATGTTTCTCTAGACCTATGCATCAAGCAACAAGAGTTGTCTTGATTTCCACTGCTTTCTTCTCAGCACTATTTCAGGGACTCACAAGTACATGACATCCCTCATCACAGGGCCCATACCAGGAATCACCAGGGCTTTGCTGTGGCTGTGTGGTTAAAACCTGTTTGGAAGCTACTGGGGAAGTTAACAGCTTAGGTGACCTACCCCTGAAGCACTTATTTCTGATCTCTCCTCTAGATTATTCCTTTCATAATATTGTCCTGTTGCACCACACTGTGCTCTAAATAACATATCCCAGTGTCTCAGCATCACGTTTTCACTAAACTAAGCAATTACCTTTCTGCTGTGCTAGCCTGAAATGCTACACAGTGAATAACAACGTGCTTCTCATCTGAAGGTCTCCCACCAATATTGAAAGGGCAGCAGGGAAATTTTCAAATGAGATGGTGAGGTTTTTTTTCCACCAAAACATTTTAAGAGACCGTGATTTTCAAAAGGGGGAGATGAGAAGAGGCTTTACTCTCTCAAAAGGCTGTCCCAAGGTGGGAAATATAAGTAATCTCTGAAAACATCTTCACAAGCCTCTTCCCCAAAGGACTGAGTGCTCAGACCCGTGACTTTACAGGGAAGAGCTATTCTCTACACTTAGAATGAAAATTACCATAAACACGGCAGCAATTTTTACAACCGTGAAAGGTAAAATGTCAGGAATCTAATAGCATCTACTGTGATTCTGCCTCAAAACACCATAACCTTATTTATAGGCACTTAAATAAAATTGAGTCTGGAGGACATTTCGACAGCCGAGACCTGAGTGCCGCAATGAGAGGCAGCAGTGAAACACCCGGCCCTCACACCGTACCTTGCCTGTCCACTCCACACCCTTCCAGATGGAGAAGTAGACCAGCAGCCAGGCCAGGGCCAGTGTGCCAGCCAGGGGCCAGCGGACAGAGCCGGGCTCCCCCAGGCCCCCCGACATCTGGTGCATGTTCCTCCTAGGGACGGGAGACTTTGCGTTAGAGGGAAGTCCAACCCTTGGGGGCAGAGGGATTGGAGATCCCGGGGGGGCTACAGGGTGAAGGGCCAGGTGCAGACAAGCATGAGAACCCACAAAACCCTAAAGAGACCTGAGGTTCATCATGATGGGATAAAGGGAGGAGAAGAGAGGTGGAGAGGCTGTTATCCTCTCTGTTCATCAGACCTGAGGTTGCACAGTGCACCCCATGCCCACCACAGCCAATGGCTGACTGTAACGCCCTCCTGCCAAAGTTATCCAAGGACAGTGCCAACGGGTACCAGTCACAATCCTGGTGGGCAGGTATGACTGTGGTGAGGGGGGAGAAACCTGGTGTAGGCAGGCTGTGGACGTACTCCCAGAACTCAGTGACGGCGCTGGTGAGGTTGGTGGTGTCATTCAGGGAGTAGTTGGAGAAGCAGCGGTCGGTGTTCCAGGCATTCCCACAGTTCTGCCATGGCAGGTCCTGCACCAGAATAAGGACAGCAGGGTTGTCATTAATGTTATATCTCCCAAAGGCAGCATTGAGAAGTGAAATTTGGCTTATTTTAAACTGAAATCCCATTATTTTTTTTGCAAAGAGGATGGGCAGCACCATCAGATGGGCACACCCTTGTAGCCAAAAGCATGAAACCATTTTCTAAAATACAGTAATTTGTGACAAGGATTTTCCAGGAAACAATATCACAGCTTGATTAGGACAGTGCTGTAGCTCTAATAAAATGTTAGCAATTCCCCAGATAGAAAGCCATTTCCAATTAACTGCTGGTAATTAATAGCTACAAATTAAAATGGCTACTGAGGGATATTGTGTTTATAACCATTGCAGCTTTTGGCTAGCTTCACTCAACAAGTGGTTGGAATTTAGTGCACAAAGAATAAATAGTTTCTTACCTCTCATTTATTCTAAGCTCCAATGCTTAAAAAGCAACATGGCCCTGAGAATGGGGGCTAACAGGCTGTCTACTAGACTAGTGGACTAATGTAACGCAAGCACACGAGTAAATTTAAAGCATAATAGCTGTTTCATGCTGTCTCCTGCCCCAATTATAAGCAGCACAAAGAGAATCCTGGGCAGTGATTACGCTGTAGGTAGTAGCAGTGTGACGGCAGCACACCACTACAGATTTAATGCGATCAGCTCCGGCACTGTGAGCGCTGAAGCTGCAGTGCCAGGGGCCCTGTGAGTGTGCAGGGCAGCTCACCCGTGCCACGTAGTGCTGGGGCTGAGGCAGCACAAGAAAAGCAACTCAGATATGTCTCAATCTGTAAGAGTCTCTTTTCCCGAGCACAGTGCACGTAGAGAAATGCAGAACAGCTATTCTGTGAAACGAGGTGATTTCCCTCTGCAGATGAGACCTCGGGTTCCAGCTCAACAAAGATCTAAGAAGATGTTTGTATCCATCACTATTCATCCACAAACACCGACCTCTTTAGAAATATTATCTACGTTTTAAGTGTTTTGTGGCATCAGTGCCTTTAAGTGCTGCCTTCACTGCTCCGTCTGAATCAGTTCGTTCCAGGAGACACCACCTTCTAACGTGCTGCCTTGGCAGAAGGGTGGCTGTTGTAGGGGAGTGGGGGACATTCGGTGGCCACCCAGGCTGCTCCACCCACATGGTGATTTCACTGAAAAATGCTAACTGCACTGCAGTAAAGGCAATGGCTCAAGAAGTGCCGCGCAGCAGCCCTTCAAACAAGTGCTTTGCACATCAGAGGAGCTGCACAGCTCTTACAAGGAGGGGCAGGCTGGGGGGCAGTTTGTTGCTACTCCATTTCCTCTGAATTTCAGAGGACAGAAACTGCAGAAGGCTCCTATTATATATGAAGCTTGGCTCCTATTATAGTTCAAAATACTCCTAGTCAAATTTAGGAGGGACAGGGGACTGACATCAGCCTAGGTTTTCTATTTGTACCTTGGCTCCTTTTGGGAATTTAGAGTTATCTCTGATAAAAGAAAACATCTTGAGTCAAATACCTGGACCTGTCTGCGTACATATGAGCACTGTCAGCAGCTGGGTCTGTGACACCCGAATGTACCAAAGCCTCATCTTGCCCAGGGATGGGTAGACCTTTGTTCATTTGGGAATCCTCTGAGGGTGCATCTATTCATCCACAACCTACAATTTTGTTCTAGATCCAGGACCCTACAGTGGTACGTGGTTTTGGGGGTAGAAGCACAGTGGGGAATGCCAAACGGAATAATTTAGCAAAAGTCTTGACAGACATTTGAAATTTTGCTGAAACAAAAAGTAAAACTGGATGTACAGCATCATAACAGTATTTCATGGTTGTATCTAAATTAATTTTAAGAAGATCCCATTTGAACCATGCGGTTGTTGTCTTTAAGGGTGCAGGTTGCTCAGAGAGTTATGTTAAGGAAACTCTTCCCAGTTTCTGGGCTGAAATTAATCATTCATCTACCAAGAAGTTGATACCAAGAAGTGATTCTAATCTTGTATGGTAGAAGACCCTGCTATGGGAGAGGAACCCACTATAAACCATAACGTCGAAGCACATGCTAAAGGAACATCACAAGCAGATGTCTAAATGATTTCTCAATCATTTTCCCAGCAGAAAAAAATCCCCAGATTTCATTTATCAAGAAAAGAGTGAATAAGAACTAATTAAGGTCAGGACTAAGCCCTGGGAAAGACCCTGTTGTAACAAAAACAGTTATGGAAATGTGTAGCTCTTAGATTTGAGTAGTTCTAGAAATACAACAGAGACACAGGGTGAGTTTTAAAGAATGATGTGAGCGGGGAACAGTACTCAGAGAGGTGATGGGACTGTCCTCTCCAGAGGACCATCCTCTTAAGAGGCAACATCAGTACCCATCAACACTACAAAACTGCCCCCAGGGCTGATGAACCTCTTCAGGAAGGGTCCTGCAGGATGCTGACAAGGGCTCTTTGCACAGACTGCAAGCAGCTAGTGCCTGTTTTGTAGCATAAACCACTCAGCCCCCACAAAGCAGGAGTGAGGACCCAGAACACAGCCAATGCTGTGCTGCAGATACGCCTGTGACTCACCGCAGTGAAAGAGTTGAAGAGATAGTAGAGAGCCCAGGCAATGATGACAATGTAATAGATGTTCAGCCAGAAGGAGAGAACCATAGCTGCCAGTCCCACTCCTGCAAAAGAAGGCAGAGAGCAGCATCAGTCCAGGTCTCCAATACCCAAGTGAGTTCACAGGCACCACAGCAAGTTTTTTGGCAGAACCAGAAAAAGTGAATCAGCTCATCAGCACAGGGTGTGCTACAGTTGCACTGTGAGGGGGTCAGCAAGGGAGGCTCATTCCCTCTCGTCTCTCACCCGCCCATTTGCACAGGGAGAACAGTGCTACCTTTCAGTCTGCTATGGGTTCTTTAGGGACAGAGCCCCATGAAAACAGGATCTGGTCACTCCTCTGGCAGAATTGCACTTTCCCACATTCAAGGCATTTTTAAATCACCACTGGTTTCTAGAATACAGTTACTCCAGGCACGGCAACAGGTTCATGCCCCCTCTTTACAGCTTTCCCATGCAATTAAGGTAAGCCTACATAGGGAGGCTTGGAACAACAAAGGGTCTTTTGCAACCAGAGCCATTCCATCACAGCCCATACTGCTCTCACCACACAGTCTTGTGTGGTGGCAAGGCACTTTATGCCTTGTCACCACACAAGACTGCTCAAACAGAGCATAGTGATGTTAATAACTGCAGACATCAGAGCCAAGGACAGCTGGATAATGACAGAGGGGAAAAAACACTCCCCTCACCTGCCACCCCATCCCAGATCCAAGGGATTTGCTGATTTGCTCCTCAAACCTTTAATGGAATCTGTAGTTACGTGCCATTGGTTTCACAAACACACAGTACCTTTAAACATGGGTGCCAACCTCCAGACTCCCAGTCCACCAACAGAGGTATACTGGCCCAGAGCAGTCTCCAGAAGGAAGAGAGGAATCCCAGCAAACACCAGTGTCAGGAAATAGGGGATGAGGAAGGCCCCTGAAAGAAGGAGCAGTGTTATCAGACAGCTCTCTCTCTTTTACCATGAAGCAAATACCTCCAGCTGCGGTTTCTTGCTCCACAGCACCCACGTGAAAAGGAGAAGCCTTGCTGGGAGAAGACAGTTTCCAGTCGGAGTTGGTGTGTTCCATGAGTCTCCCACTGAGATCACCACTGCCTTACCCTTATCTGTTCCTATCACAATGGGTATTTATGTACCCTGTGTACATATACACTGGCATCACTAGCTATGCAATGCCAGTCTCACTTTGTTGTTAGCTATTAGGCAATGCTAAAACCAATCTGACAACAAGCCCAAAACTTGGACACTGACATTGGTAACTTGTTCTTGTTGATGCTTTCTGTCTTACCTGCAGCAGCTTCCAGTTCTTCAGCTCGAGGGAAAAGTGCACAGGAATATCTAGCATTGGCCACTGCTCTCTTTTTTTTATAGCTATTTCAGTCTTTTAAAAAAACTGTGACAAAGACTGTATTTTCTCTTATAACAGTGCTATATACCTAGCTATCCATGTTTTAGATTTTACCCTTAAAATTCCTGGTAAAAATATTACTCTTCTCTATGGCCCTGTGGAAATCTCTTCACTATAAACAAGGTATTGCAGCTATTCACTAGAGATATTACTGGCACCGAGTTATAAGAAGAGGGAATAGAATAGGAGAGCCTTGCTGTGTGATTTGAAGGCTGTACATGTTCAGGTCATCCTGACATTTAGGACTTTGGACAAAGCTCATTTTCCACCTTTCTCATGCATGTACTGGAGCATGCCATCATCCCTGAGGAGGACAAACTCTGGCTGAGGACAGAGTGGGGACACTCAGTTTGCTCAGAAGCAGCTGGCCATGTTTGGGACAGCACTGGTTTCTGCATTAGCCGAAGGGCTGAGCTGTCAGTATGAGTCTTCTTCTCCAGATAATAGTGGGAAAGCAAACACGGAGCCAGAGAGCAAAGCCACTCCGGAGAGCTGCGGCCCAGCTTGCACCTGGCAGAGTCAGGCTCCAGCAGCTGCTCTCTGAGGGTAGGGACGCAGTGAGGCACAGCCAGGGATGCTGGCTCAGGGGACACCCAGCTGGGGACGCCTGCCTGCCAAGCAGGGAGCTGAGCCCAGCTGGGAGAGGCAGGTGCCAGCACCCGGCATGGGAATCTGTGGGAGGCAGCATGCAAGAGGAGCTGGCAGTGGGTGGTGCGGAGGAAACACTCTCTGGGCCAGCAGCTCGATGACCGTGAGCCTGAATCACAAGCTGGCGGGGAAGCACAGGCTCTCAGCTTCACCAGCAGCCTGGCAAGGAGGAGAGAGCAGCTTTGAGCAGCGCTGCACACTCAGCATCCTCCCTTGTGTTCTTGCTGGCCACCACGGGCTGCAAGGTCCACTCCCCTTAGGAGCCCTGCAGGAGGACATGGATGCTGCCACCCTGCCACTGTGGAGTTTGGAGGCTGAGCTTATCAGCAGTGCAAGTGCCTTCCTCGCTTCTGTGCAAGCAACTAATGAAATTTGGCCACAGCCCTGACAATCCTGCATTTTTGATCCGCAGCAGGTCAGGAAGGTTTGTAGATGAAAGATTTTATGAGACTATTGAGAAAAAAAACAACAGATGAACTTTTGGACACAGGTCTTTTGTCCTGGTCTAACAAAAATCCTCAAGAATATTGGAAAATCTGCAATCCAGGGCACTGGTAACAGCCCCAGGTGCTGTACAGCCAGAGTGGAAATCAGTTCTGAAATCTGTACTTACAGTCTGCAGGCCTCTGCCTAAATCCTTGGCACAGAGAGAAAGCAATGGTCTTTAATCTCTGGCCCTGGATGAGCTGCCAAAAGGTCTGGTTCAGATCCTGAGCCTGTTACAAATGGTCGTGTGTGACCTTGTGAGAATCCCAGCTTGTCTCTGAAGTCCATGGAGTTAAAGGAGTGATGGTGCTGGTCCTGCCCTGCCTGCTCAGAGCACTGATTCTTGGAGGCACGGAAGGATCATATAGCACCTGGCACCCACTGAGCAGCCCCAAATCTGCCTGCAGTCTCCAGCTCCTAATGACATAAAGCAAGGAATAACAATTAAGCCTTAAACAAGGAACACTGCCCACGAATCAAAAGTTGAGCATTACAGGCTGTTAAATGCCGTTAGTTCGAGCCTCAGTGTGCAAAAGAGGAATGCATGATGCTTATTTAAAGAATTGCTTTTCTCTCAAGTTATTCAAGCTCAGGATCTCACAGACAATTTTTAGCTGCATTTAGAGTGAATTTAGAGTCCGGTAAAACCCTGTTGAGATCAGAAGGAATGCATGAGGTTAGAAATCGGTGCAGAGGCTGGAGCGTTAGTCACATCTGGGCACATCCAGCTGTGTGCAGAGCCAGCAGGGAGCCCAGCCATCAGTTTGGGCGAAGCCTGCCCCCCGCAGCGGACGGGCCGTGCGCTGGGCTGCCGTGCCCTGGGCTCCCTGCAGCGAGCAAACCAGCCGTGAGCCGATGCAACGTGACAGAGGTAAGTGAGACGACAATATTTCCATTCAGTTCAATTTGCCTGTGCGTAATGGAAGCAGCCCACACGACCGCGCTCTGAGCAGCGCACATGCAGGACGCTAAAATTAGAGTCCCACCCACAGTCTGCTCTGCTCCGGAGGCGCCTCCGTCGGGGCAGAGCCAAGGCGGTGCCCACCCGGTTGCGAATCAGATGCCGTGAGACCCTGCCTCGCATCGGCTCCCGGTGACGCTTTCGTGCGTCAGCTCTCCCGCCTGTCTCCAGCATCGGCAGCCTCCACTTGCCGCTCATTATTGCCGGCTGTGGGAACAGTCGTGCCTGCGAACAGCCAGACCTGCTAGGGGTGAGAGGAATGAGGGATCCGGAGCGCCGCGGACGGCACGAAGCGGCAGGCGAGGCAGGGTGTTTGGGAGGGCGCAGGCACCGATCCCTGCCTTTCATCGGTCTGGCGTTCCTGCTCACAGCCGGCTGGTCCCTCTGCATGCCTGGAGCTGCCAGGGCAGAGATCACCCTGCGTGCCACTGCTCATGCTAATAATAGTGCTCCACACCTCCACAGCATCCTCTGTCTTAGGTTCTCAGCTGATTTTATAAATAGGGCTGATTTTAGCTTCACAACACTCTTCATCTAATTATAGGTATTGTCACCCCCACCTTTATGTGTGAGGAAACAGCCATGGGCATCACAGATCCAGTGTGAGATTTGAGATGACACAGCAGCCACAGTGCAGATACTGGCTGGCGCTGGGACTTAGCCACGGGGCTAATGCTGTGTGAGGAGGGCTGGCAGTCAGGTGCTGGAGTGTGGCTAGATAAAGGTGACAAATCCACACCGTGGCTCTGGCATTGGTGGCACAGGTTTCCCTAGGAAGGCCTGGCTGATTCCCATAAACCTCACTCAGCTCAGCTGCATATTTATGCCTCTGCACAAAACCCAAAGAAGATGTGGATGTCCCATCCCTAGAAGTGTTCACAGCCAGGTTGGATGTGTCTTTGAGCAACCTGGAAAGGAAAGGTGTCCCTGCCCTTGGCAGGTAGGTGGGAACTATATCATCTTTAAGGTCCCTTCCAACCTATGATTCTATGATCTTTAGGATCCCTTCCAACCCGAACCATCCTATGATTCTATGCTTCTATGAAAACAACATACTCCATTAAAATCTTCTTGTCAAAATTGATAAATGTCTGATCTCCTGCTGGAACTCACTCCACATGCTTCAGAGAAAGAGCCAAGATACCCTTAAATGCTGTGGAGTTACATGGACAGACTGCTTTAGGGAGCTAGACCCTTCTCCTCTTTTCCAGGGTTGGAGGAGAAGAGCATCCTGCACCATCTGCAACATGGACAGCAGAAGTGGATTTGAGTCATGAGAATCAAAGGCAAAAGGAAAATAAAAACGACGTGGAGAAGAAGCATGAGAAACCCTCAGAGCAGCATGAATGAATGTGGCACAAAGGACAGCGACTCTGGGCAGGGAAGAGCTAAGAGGGAAGCAAAGAGCCATGTGGGAAGAGCAGCAGCTGATACTAAAATTATATACACAGCCTTAAAGGGGAGGAAAAGGGGTTTGGACTTGTCTGGGAAGTCTGAGAAATGGTTCAAGGAGGTGAGCAGCTCTTCAAGGTGCGGGAGGAAGGTTATTTTGGTAACAGGCACAAACGATAGGACAACTGGGCATGGAGTGAGGAGAAGAAAGAGCCTCTGTTCTACTAACACCAGCCCATACTATCCTCCCAAAAAGCATCTCCCTGGCAAGGCTGAAGAAATAGCATTATTTTAGAGGGGAGCTGAGGCACAGAAGTTTATTTTCTGTCTTGATCCAAGACATGCAGAAAGTCTGTAGATGGGCAGGGAGCTGATGTGCCAGATCTCTTGATTTCTAGCGCAGCAGTGTTTCCCCATCTGCCTGCCTTTCTCTAGCCTTCCAGTGGTTTGGCAAAGCCTCAGTAGATGATGGTAAGGAAAGGATGTAGTGGTGCAATAATAAAGAGAATAAAAAGTAGCTGGTGTTAGCTGTCTGCAGAAGAGGGCACTGCTACCAGCTACATCCCACTGTAAGTGGGATCTGCATCCTTTGTCAGCTGCCTTCTTGTCTTATGGCCTCTGTTTTCCAGGCCTTAGGATGGAAATGACAACTGTGATCCTTCTCGCAGCACTCTAGTAAGTGAAAGCTCATTTCCTTCCATAGATGATGACACATCATCGTGTGTACATGTACATAAGTACACTTGTTTGTATATACGTCTACACAGCCCTGCTATGATCCATGCAAAGCTTCTAATCAGAACTCCTTAGACATGTGATCCAAACTCACATGAAAAACTGTTATCCCTTGAGAATACACTAGGTTGAGGAGAACCTCACCATTAGCAGGTTTCCCTGGGAGCGCCCCAGCATCCAGCTGGGTGCCTGTGTGCATAGTCCTCCTTGTAAATAAATGAGGACAGTCTTTTCTGTAGCCCTGCAAATCTGGATTGCAAAAGCTTGACAGAACTCAAACTTCTTGTTTAATTTCTTTGTACGGCTTCTTCCCAGCTTGCACTTGCTAGTTAAGCCCACAGATCTGAGAACTAGTTTCCTGACAAGTTAATAACTCACATCATGAGGGAGAGCTCTCAGCTGGAGGATCAACCCAGACACACCAAACCAAAGCCTGTTCAGGGACAAGGCTGCTCAGGGATGGATGCGGGCACAGTGTGTTTCTCTTACCTCCTCCATTCTTGCCACAGAGATAAGGGAAGCGCCAGACGTTGCCCAGACCGATAGCGTAGCCCACACAGGACAGCAAGAAGTCAAATTTCCCCTTCCAGGAACCTCTGTCTGGGAGCTCCTTCTTCTTCTTCTTGGTGCTCACAACCTCAGGGGTGACGGGCTCTGGCTCCTCCAGGGCTGCCTGCTTCACCTCAGAGGGAGAGTTCAGCTCCACAGAGGGGTTGTCCATCTTGCCCATGGTGACTCAGATGTGTGGCCACTCTTGCTGAGGGGCCGGAGGAGCAGTAAGGGCAGCTTCTGCCTTGGGCGAGCACGGATGAAATGGGAAGCACTGGGCAAAGCTCCTGATGAGAAAGGAGAGAGAATCCTGTGTCAGTGTAGTGGACTTAGGGGAGGGTCTTGCTGGGTCTGAGGCGGACTCACTGGGTAGACTGGTGCACATCAGTGCAGCCTATCCATGCCTCCCTGCTTTCCCCGGAGAGAAGGAGGATAATTTTGCCTTGCTCGAAGCTGCCCTTCTGAGGGGTTGTGCCCACATAGACTGCTAACAACAGACTCAGACCTGGCTGTTACCAGTACATAACAAACCCTTCAACTCTCATCTTATCTCCTTCTCATCCCAGTGCTCTGTAGGAAAAGCTCCTGGACCAGTACACATGCAGAGAAATCACAGCCTGTGGGTGATCCAGCACAGAGCAGTCCAGGCATGTCTGAGTGACAGTAGAAAGGGGCATGGTGGAAGTGCCACATCTCCCAGGTCTGGGGACCAAAACTGAGTGCATCAGCCATGGAGCCATCTGAGAGATGGCGTGCCCTAAGGAGTACATAACCCTCACACCAAAACAATTCGGAAAGAGAGCGAGAGCAGGCTGTGTTATTTAGACCTGTGTCTAAAACAATATTGCACTCATGTCTTGAAAACTAAGTGCAGTTCTCCCTTCCTGTTGCAGAAGCTATTGCAAAGTCAGAAAAAGGCATGGAGGAGAGACAAAAGGATGCTTAAAAGTGTGGAGCACCTTCCACGTCACGAGAGGCTAAAAGAGAGAGAGTCCATTGTCCTGTGGAAGAGGTAACTGACAGGGGCCTATAAATGTATCAGTGTCATAGAATACGAGTATTCACCATTTCTGACATAAGAACCACAAGAGATTGAACCAAGACAGTGGGTGGTAGGTTCAAAGAGGTCAAAAGGGGATATTTCACAAAATGTGCAGCTATTGAGCAAGACTCCCCACTGCAGAACATGACGGATGCTGAGAGTTTACATGACTTCAAAAAGGAAATTAAGGGGAAAAATAATGGAAGGAAAAATCCACCAAGATCTACCACTGCAGTTCAGGAAAACCCTGAGCTGTAAGTTATGGGAGGTTGAGGGACTCTTCCAAGGAAATAAGACTTCCTACTTTTCCTGTTTGTATCCTCTCCCCTCAGCATCTGCCTTCATCCAGAACAAAAGACAGGGGACTGGCATGGTCCTCCGCCAGGGACCATGAGGGTGACTAGTACTACAGTCTCCCAGAGAAGTCTGTTGACAAAAACATTCCCAGATACACATACTGGAAAACAAAAACAACAACAAAAAAACCCACCAAAAGCAAAGTAAAGCAAAGCAAACTAAACACCCCCCAAAGTACCACTCCCCCACAAAAAAAAAAAAAAAAAAAAAAAAAAGAGACAGAAGAAGAAAGAAAAAAAAAGAAAAACTAAGATGATATAACATAAAACACAGCAATGCTGTGAAGATATGTCCCGCTCTAGCAGTTAAAGTTGTCTTTGCTTGAGCTTCTTACTCTCAACAGTCTTGTCTCCTGAGTAAACAGTACCCATTTATCCCATGGGATGTTTGGAGGACTCATTAATTAGAATTTCTGAAGTGTCCTGGACAGAGATGGTCTCCCAAGTCCAGGCTCAATGTCAGTATTGACTTCTGTTTACTACAAGGGGCACCCCATGATTACAGCAGATGGATTTCCTTCCCCCCAGAATTCACAGCTGAGGTTAGGAAAACTGTATCAACTGTGAAGGGAATGGCTGAATCAGAGAAAAGACCCCTGTAATTCATTCTGGTCAGTCAGTGGAGAAGCCAGAAATCTCCTTGCTGTGGGATGAAGGCTGTAACCAAACCCTCTGAGCTATGGAGCCCACACCGAGCCTCACAACTCCTCTAGCCCAAGGATGGTTGCAGGTCAGTCCAGCAGTAAGTGGCAGCATGAAAATGCTTTCTGGGGAGAAGAGACCATTCCACAGAGCCCATGAGACAGATACCAGAAGTATTGCAGGACACCCAGAGCAAAGGCTTTGGTGAACAGATCCCATTTCTGTCCTACACCTTGTGATAGCACTGTCACACCAGCTCCTTGCTCCTCAGTAAGGCAGGGAGAAAAAGGATTTTAAAGAACATGTAGGAGGAAAGTAAAATAAAAACAATTTATAAATCAAAACAGAAGAAATAGCACAAAAACCCCTGGGAAAAATTCAGAGCTGGGCTAAGTTAGGATAATTAGCTATGCCTGGAGACATAACAAATTAGAGTCAGCAGAAGCCATTTTGACTTTTTTTTTCCTGAGACAAAAAACAGTAGGTAAGCTGCTATCTTAAAAACGTGTGTATATATCCTGTGCTCTTTTCCCTGTTCCTGTTGCCACAATTCTGGAGAGATACTGCAGCCAGATAATCACACCTCATATTTCATATTCTTGGGGTAGGATGATAGAGGAGCAGCAGATCATACTGGCAATTTCTTCTTACCTGAGAAGTGAGGTCCTTCATCTCCAGCTCAGAAAGAATAAGCTATATTTATAGAGGTTTCTCCACAGTCAAGAAATTGAAAAACAGTCAAGAGGACCCACTGAAGATTCATCCCACCTACTGTCCTGTCTCTTACAGTGATGGATGATTAGGGCAGAAGAGCTCATGCATGTCCCACAGCCTGGCTGTGCCATGTCCTTCCCCAGGCATATAGCCTTGACCAGGAAAAATACAGGCATCAGTTGCTCCAGGCTAAATGTTTGACTCCTATGTTTAGACACCAGCTCACACGCTAGACAAGTGGTCCTACTGCAACAAAATGCACCAGTCCCTCCACTTATCTACGTGGGTCTCCTCCAGCACAAGCAAAGGGCTCTGTCCTGTGCTGACAGCCTAGAGAGAGCAGAGTCAGTTCAGCAGCTGTCATGTCAGATTATTCGTTCTGAAAAGCACACAGCGCTTTGGGCACAGCAAAATGCCTGAAGGACTCAAAATGATAATCAATAAGAGCAGAGCTACAAGCTGGAGGTGGGCTCTGCTTCACAAGGACTTGAAAACAAGGTCAAAGAGTTCAAACATGACACTACAGCAGGTTTCTCATTCGGCTTCTTCCAAATACACCATATTCTGAAGCCAGGACTTTCAAAGCAATCAGTGAAAGCTAGCACCATAAATCCCTGGCAGCAAAGGAGTGAGTTGCGTTTCACTGGGTTGTGCAGAAGGCCTGGTCTTCTCCTCTTCAAGTCAATAAAAACAATTGCCAATGTCCTCTGCGGGTGCAGAGACAGGCTGAAACACATTTTGGAAAACAGTCCTTCCCCTTCTCTTTTTTGAGGGATTTTGCTTCAAATAAGAAAATAGCACTGAAAAAGTATTACCTCCACTTGAAACGCTGCCACCTGAAACTGCTAACAACAGTGACCTTTTTACTTTTCCCTGCTTCAGCATGAAATATTAACAGTCTCCTCAAATTTGACAGAAACCAAAAATTTCGAGGGCATAAAATTGCCTGAACTGAAAAAGCAAAATGACCTATGGAAACGTGTGTAAGAAATACTTTCACACACATCCCCACCTCTTATTTTTCAGTGCCTTAACAGCCACACAAATCGCTTCTGACCCATGCAGGTAGAGCCACAATTAGTTTAATTACACAGTGCAGGCTGTTGTTCAGTCAATTAGACTTTTCCTTCCATCCACACCATTTTACTGACAGCCAAGTAGCCCCAAGGCTCTTGCATCTTGTTTAGAGCCGTGACCAGCCGATCAGGGCACAGGCAGACTCTCGGTCGATTTTCTGCTCGCTGCAGCAGCAACATATGCTTGAGCTTCCTGCATCCTTGAAAGCTGGAGGGTCTGGGGAAAAGCCCTCCGTGGGAGCCTGAGGATGCTGGCAAGGTGCTGGCCCCACATGGAAACCACTCAGGGCTGGAGCATTGCTGTCCTGTCCAGCTGGGTCAGGCAGACAGGACTTGTGTTTCACAGCCCTCTCCGTGTTCTGCCCAAGACGCAGCCGCCGCAGTCACTCAACCTTTCATCTCCCTTCCTCAGAAGACAGGCAATTGCTTGGTCACAGGAGAAGAAAGTAAATCAGTTCTCCTGGGTGATGGAGCTGCTGGGTGGTCTCTACCTCCACTCCGTTTTACACCCTCTTGCATAAGATCTAGGTTGTTGATGCCCAGGTCTGACCTGCAGCTCCTGCCCAATGTCCCTCTTCCACCAGCAGCCCGGGGTCACCCGCATTGTTCCTAATAATGTGGCAGGTGAGATTGGCACCACACCAGAACCCTATCCACATGAGCAGAGGGGGCAATTGGAGCATGAGCCACATTTCACAAACCATTAAATGAAGGGAACATCTGCATGAGGTCAGAATACATCTTGCAGCCCCCAGCCTTGATCCCAGGAGGGCTGTGGCAGTCCCTCAAAGCCATGAAAAAACAGGTGAAGAACTGCTGAGCTTCTGGTGCTGGCTGCATCCTGCCATGCAGCCTCTTTGCCAAGGAGCATCTTCCTTCTGTTACACATTCAGGAGGAATGGGGTCAGCTATTCCAATGCCCTCCCTGTCTCCAGATGCCCACTTGAATCTCCTCTGGCTTCTCATCCCTCAGGGGGAAGTGGGTTCAGATCCTACTCCTGACCACAGACTGTGCTTCACTCAGCACTGCTGCTCTCACCTGGGTGCCTGGGGCTGCCTTACGTTCTCCCTAAGGAAAGCAGAGTTTTGTGCCTTTTTTGAATGATGCAAATGATGCAGCCTCTGAGCCATTTTAGTGCTCTCATTTAAAGCTCATCCTGGCCCCTCAGAAGCTTCCCTAGGAAGCAGAGAGATGGCAGGACTCTTCCCTGGCTCCTGCATACTGTCCTGACGCAGCCCAAGCCACCACAGCAGGAAGAGGATCAAGGCCAGGCCACATCCTGCTCCCTTAATGGCAGTCTCGGAGCAGACTGCAGGCTTCCAGATTGGGAGAGACAGACAAGTGGCTTAA